TGCCCACCACGGGTATCGAAACCCGGTTTCTAGCGTTGTAAGTCCGCAGACATTCCGCTGTGCCACTGGGGGCCACTAGAATATGACGACAAAACCAAACAACAAAATCGGCAAATTAAAGAAGACGAAAAAGAAAATTAGAAAAAAAAATGAAGTTGAAACATTGAAATTTCTCAAAGTAAATAACATTCGTTATGACGATAACATACACAAGAAGAACGCTAAGAAACTTGACATGAAATAGTAGGATCTGCATGAAAACATTCAGGAACTTAAACGTTCTCAGAATTCAAAGTCGGAAGACTCAAAAATCCATTGAATATAAAACTTACATTCTCACAAAACTTACGATTTAAGAACTTACCTTGTGTGAAAATCTTAAAAGTAGTGAGAATTTGCTTACAAAAATAATCTATGTTACCACATTAAAAAAAAATCCTGGATCTTGACAATCAGCATATTTCCGGAACTTACCTCTGGAGTCATGCGTGAAATGGTAGGCATATCATAGCCAGCTTGGAGAAACAGATGAACGTAGTCTCCAAAATGAAGGCTCGTAAGCCAGGTTTGCAGGATGTCGACGTCCTGGGGAAGACAACACATGAATCATGTTAGCTTTTACTCTTCAATGCTTAGACAATAATGGATCGGCCAGACCTAAGGCGGGCTTCACCGGTTACAGGCAATTTAGAACGGAGATTTCCTGAGAATTCGAAAGACAGCTGTTAACACTGTCCCGCTAGTTGACCATTACTAATAGCTACGACGTTTATGTGGTAAAATCTTGACATTTTGGCGTCGGAAGTACGCACGCGGCGCGAGCAACAATGCAGAGTAACATTAAGGCATACGGCATTCTCATAGGGTGAAGTGCAACTAAAAACAGCAAATCACACGACAGCTGTGACTACTTCTTTATAGTTCTCAACTTTAACGATCCAAGCCTCACTCTGGATTCATTGCGGACCAGTAGGTGGAGTTACACCACAGTCATCGATTTGACTTGATATATTGTAATTAACTCTCTACTGTAACGTCCAGGCAACAACTCTAAATTTGTTGCTTAATACACATATAAATGCTTCAGTCCTGTAGTTCAATGCTCTTACCTCCGGGTAACAGTCTAAAATCTAAATAAACCATGGAATAATTGTTTACTGGTTACACAATTGAGCGATGTTACTTCTAGGAGCCCCCCAGTGGCACAGCGGTATGTCTGCGGACTTAGAACGATAGAAACCGGGTTTCGATACCTGCGGTGGGCAGAGCACAGATAGCCCATTTGTGTAGCTTTGTGCTTAATTACAAACAAACAAAGAATCTTATTTAACCCCCCAGTGGCACAGCGGTATGTCTGCGGACTTAGAACGATAGAAACCGGGTTTCGATACCTGCGGTGGGCAGAGCA